GTGCAGGCAGTGAAGTGACAGTGATGGAGCTAGGAGCGCAGCCCTGGGCTGCACAGCCTGGGGCACACAGGCAGGGAGGATGGTGCAGGCGCTGCTGGGCTGGCACGAGGGGCTGGTTTACGAGACCTTCCCCTGGATGCTCCCTCCCCAGGGCCCTTCGGGGTGTGTGGCATCACGCAGGCAGGAGGGCAGGGGGGTGAAGAGCCTCCCACCACCAAAATGCCCTGGCTGCAGTTCCCCCCAGGTGCTCAGCAGCTGCGTCGCTTTGCACCAGTGGCCCCAAATCTGGACCAGCTGTGTAAGCCTTGGTTTAAATAGAAAGGGGGAGGAGGGGCGGGGGGAGAAAGCAAGCTGCGAGCGTATAAAACAGGCTTAAAAATGAGGCTTTCATTGGCTTCTCAGCTCCTCAGTGGTGTCATTTCATGCTGATCCCACCAGCTCAGCTCCTTCGTTGCCGTGTCCCATCTCCCCCCACCCTCACCAAGGCTGTCAGCCCGAGGCTTGGGTGTGCTGTGCTGCCCTTGCCATCAGAGCTGTGCAGCCAAGATCTCTCACCCTTTCCGTGTTGAACCTGGGACACCCTCCGGGTGGCCAGGATGGAGCTGGCACCTCTCACCCTTCCTTCCACAAGAGTGGAAGGAAGCAGCTCTTCAATTCCTGCACAAGTCAGAGCCCGCGTGGCGTTGCCCAGGTGAAACCCACCTCTTCTGGAGCTGGAAGTGGGAGAACAACCACAATCCAGAGGCTGAGCCAGCCTTGCACTCTCCTTCTGGATTCAGTGCGGCGCTGCCAGTGCTCGGTGGCTCCGTGCTCGTGCCCCAGAGCCCGCTTTGCAAAGGCAAAGCCCGGCAGAGGCACCGGGGCTGGCGGTGTGACATCTGCACTGCAGAGCCTGTCTCGGGCGGAGGATGGAGCTGGTAATGAGCTGACAGTGCAGAAAGCAGGGCACCTGCTCGGGTTTATCGCTGCTTTTCTGCAGCCTGAGCTGCTAGGCAGCGCTGCTGGGGAGCTCAGTTGCTTAGTGACTGCCTGAGCCCCATCCTGCTTTTGGAAGCTGGTGATGGTCCGAGCCAGCTGCTCAGATGATGGTGGGAGGTGCCGTTCGTCCCCAGGTGCCATGCTGGGCTGGGCTGCCCCCACCTCCCAGGCACTTACACTGCTGGAGGAATCCTCCTCCTCCTCCTTCCACCACTGCTCCCCCCAGGGGCTGTAGCTGGGGTGGGTGGATGGCTGGGTGGGGAGCTGCCCTGCCCCTCGGTCCTGCCCTGATGACCTGCAGAGGGATTTGGAGGCATGAGAAAAACCTTTAAGAAATTCTCAGTGAACTGGGGCTTTGCGATCCCTCAATTCCCACGGGAAAAGGGCTTGCGGCGGCTCCCCAGGGAACACTGCCTGTTCTCACCACCTCCTCCCACAGACTCCCACAGCAGGAGTCATGCCAGAGCCCCCAAATGCTCCCCCTCCTTACTTCACCAAGAATCAAGAATTCTACCACAGACAGTAGCTGCACACCCAGTAACACCCATGGGTCTCCTTCCCCAAGGGTCCTCAGGCTCCCCCCGCACCTACACTGACTCTTGGTATTCCCAACAGCCTGGGCCAGAGGTAGTTTTTTCTGCCAGCAGCGTCTTCACCTCCAAGGTTTCAAAATCAACTTTGAATGGCGAATGTTGACCATGAAGGGTCTTGGGAAGAAAACAGCAGGAGCAGAATGCTTCTGATTGGGGTAGTGACCAGAGTACAAGCTGGGAGCAAGCTTAGTTCTGTGCCTGGAGATGCCCACGGCCAAATTACATCTGGAAATGGCACAGGGAAACGCAGGCTTGAAGCTGAGGTTGATTCAGAGAGGGCCCTTCCACGGAGAGCACTGGGAAGGAGCCTGGGACAGCGCTGGAACACACCAGGCTGAGCTGCTCTCATTCCCTATAGGCACGAGGAGAAGGGATGGGCCAGCTGAAATCTTAGGTTGAAGATGACAGTGGTGGCAACAGAGAGGGCAGAGACACTCCACACAAAACCTCCGACACACCGTAGGAAAAAGAAAGGTTTTATTATCACCATTATCAACGTTTTCATTAGCTTAACACTGAATTGTAAATCACTCAATCATTACATAGTCTGAATAAAACCTACAGACAGGAAAAAAGTACAGCAGAATCCTTTCCCGACTACAGACGAGCGGCCGGCGGCACACCAGCGCTGCCGGGACGGCGTCCCACCTTCCACCCAAGGCAGCTCATGCACCTCGCAAGCGACTCGCCACGGTGGCAAGCAGGCTGCCCGGCTCCATTGCCTGTGTTCCCTCTGGCTCCACAGAGATTACATCTCACCGGATAATGTTTAAAACCTCCAAAAAGTTTTGGAGAGGGTTACAGAGGCCAAAAAGAGCAGATCAGCTGCCCCCACTCCTACGGAAAGGCAAGAGGAGAGGTAGCAACTGTGTAGTGCCCCTGCAAAGCTACTGGTTTTTGTGGAGCAATTAATGAAGTAAAAAGGTTTAACCCCATGAAAGCAGATTTCCCTACCGTGGCCAGGCCCCTGGGCAGTGGGGGTACAAGGCAGAGCACTGGCACGCTGGTGCTGGGGAGGCGAGAGCATGGATGTGCTGGGGGTGGTGGCTCCATCCCCGAGCAGAGGCCAGCTCTGCGGCACTGCCCCGGGGCTCCCCGCAGGCAGCGTGGGATGGATGCTTCAGTACAAAGAGATGCTGCGGGCAGCCTCCATCTCCAATCTTGTGTTGGAGTAAGGCCTCGTATCGAGAGGGAAGGGAGAACCCACGTAGGGAGCAGCGGGTGCAGGGGAAAGCAAAGGGAACCCGGAGGAAAGCTCGCTGGGAGCTCCCCTTCTCCCTGGCCTGCACAGCGGCAGCTCCCTCCCTGTCCCTGCCTTCTCCTGGCCGTCTCTATGGCACATCACGCCTGCGTGGGCTGCGGAGCCCCTGCAGAAGACCCCTAGCTCCTACCAAGGACGGGAAACAAAGGACCCCCTGTGGTCTGAATTCAGGACTGCCACAAAACATGGGCAGGGCACCGGCATCCCAGGCGGGTGGCAGGCCATGGCAGTGCTGCGTGAGGGGGTCTCGGGTGAGGCACTGCATCCCCAGGATGCCCTTTCCACCTGGCGCAGGGAGCAGCCTGCAGCTCGCAGGAGGAAGGCAAGCCCGGCGCGGTGAGGCTGAGGGAACGTGCCTTGGATCCACTCTCCAAACCTCGCTCTTCCTTGCTCCAAACAAAGCCAAAACCAGCTCCAGGTCGAGGAGATGGAATCACCAAAGCAGAGACCAGTGAGCAGCACTGGGTAAGGAGCAACAGCCCCAAAGAAAAAACTGCTGCAGGATTTAAAGTTCCAAGCTGGTGTTTAGAGGGATCTGGAGCCCCGGTGGGCAGCTATCCCAATCTGTGGTGCCCAAGCAACTACAGAATCCTAGCTCCTGGAAAGCTTGTGCGCATGGCTTCAGCAGAAGGTGTGCCTCGATTCTTCCCTCGGGTTGCTTCTGCCCCCATCGCTGCTCAGCGAGCAGAGCTCACTGCTGCCCACGCGCTGCATGTGCCCACACGGCCTCCTGCAAGACAAAGCCCCTTCCTTCCCACGCAAGGGGGTCTCAAGCCCACGCGAGGTGCCCAGCGTGCAGTGTAAATGCAAAGGCTGTCTACTGACCTGGCAGAGTGGGGTTCAACAATATAGCTTTGGTTGCTGTTTTAGCTACTGGAAAATCATGAAGGGAAAATCATTAGGTCGTGGCCTCCGTTTGCTGGTGCTCTGTAAAGGGCTGGTGCTGGCTCCTTCTCAGTTTCAGCCGCTAAAGTGCAAAGAACCAAATGCTACAAGAAACTCTCCCCGGCTCCTCTCCTCCACCAGGATGAGAGCAGCTTCTGCAGGGAAGGGAGGGCAGAAGGGTGTCTACACCATGAGAAGAGCTTTGAGGTTCCCCAGGAGCGAGTCTGACGCTGCTGTCGTGGGTGAGCGGCTGGGGCTAGGGATGGACGTGCGGCTGCTTGGCCACTGGGACATTGGCCACCGAGCAGAGAGGAGTCTGGCAGTGTGAGTTTAAGACTCGTTAGCCACATTTTGAGAATACCTAATCACTCGCAAACTCCCTGGGGAATGACGACATTTACAGACAGACGCTGGAAAGCCAGGCAGACCGTCAGATACATGCAGGGCGCATGTCTCTGCGTCCGGGTCTCTGCCATGCCGGGTTTCACGGATGTCCCACAGGCTTGGCTGCTGGGTCTTGCATGGGCAAAGGGCTCATACAAGGGAATGAGACGCTGACTGCACAACCAGCCAGCCCCTCAGAGGGATTTCACCTCCCTAAGGGAACCTGGCATTTTCCAAAGCGTTACTGTGCGCTGTGTGCCTGTATCCATTCGTACAGACACACACGTGTGGACGTTCACAAACATATGTGCCTTGGCTGGTGAGCGCTGGGGTAAACATGAAAAGGCTTTCACTGATCATCCTCTTTTCTAAACGTTTGGCTCAAATTTGGTAGCTGCAATTTCATTTTAGATGCTCGCTCCAGGTCTCAGTATGCCCTGGACTTCTCCACTGACGGCACTTTGCATTTACACGGCTCTTTTTCTTCTCAAAGCGTTGCACAGAAAAACGTGAATTATTTCATCGTTCAACGGGGCTCCCAGCACCAGTGGGCCAGTGACCTCCTGCCTGCATGGCCAGCGGACCGGCAATCTTGAAAACAACATAAAGATTTTTCCTAAGGGAAATGCTGCGAGAAATCCACAGGCAATGAAGTGGGATGCTGTTTTGAAGCTGTTTTATTTTACACGCTTGCATCAATGATAGAGCTGACTTAAAATCCAATATCCTGATCCTGCCGCTTTGGAAAAGTCTTGCCCAGCATTATCTAACTCCTGAAGAATGGCACAGAACAGCCTGTTCCTCTTTTACACGTTAGACCCCCGTGATCCTCTGCGAAGGTGCAATCTCTCTGCCTTGGGTGGAACTTTCTAACGAAATGGACAAATACCACCTATGAAATGGACAAAATAACCCACAAAGCCTTTAAAGGAAAGCAGCTCAATCTGCTGCTCTGAAAAAAACCTCCCTTTAGTTTGCTCCTGGTATCTCGAGGAAAATAGGCAGCTGTCAGGCAGAACTCATGTGGCCCCAGAGTGCAAAAGCTTTTTTGCTTTATCAGGGCTACAGTGGCAGTGGGAACCATTTTCATCGAGTTACAAATACTAGATAGCCTAAGAAAAACAGGGAGATTGAAACAGTCATGAAGTTTATATTGAAACTATCTTTTACCTCTGTAGTATGAAGTCACCTACAGCTGTTTCATTCTTCACCCAAGAGAGATTTCATGTCGATGGGCACGTATACTCACAGAGAAGTCTATAGGATGAATATATCTCACAAGGCAACAGCCCAGTCTTCGTTTTTTTTACAATCAAAGTTAATATGGATCTTTTTCAAAAGTGATGTCATTGAGATTGAAGACAATTATAAACTGTATCAACAATATGTACTACAGCCTGCAAGTCACAATCTGTGCACACCAAATGGAATATATTATTGCTTGTTAGCCTATTAGACTTTCTTTATAAAAAGATTTTTATACAGAGTACAGGATTATGACAAAACTCGCTAAGTAGTTTTCATCTTGAAAATACAACATCAATTCTTTCAACAAAGGCTTGAATAGTAGCTGAGAGTTAATGAACGATAACAAATATTTACTAATAATTTTATGGCCAGTTTGAACAGAATTTATTATAGGACTCTTTTCTGGTGTTTATTTACATATGCCTCTTTTCTTTTGGAAAAAAGTTGATAAAATATAACAAGGAACATAGAAATCAAAAGAATGAGTAAACTTCATACCAAGAACATTAAACATTTTTGAAAACACTAAATTATGTTATCTGTTAAAAAACATACATCATTTTGTCTTTAAAGAAAAATATTTTTCCTGTTTTAAAATATTACCAACAGCATGTAATAAACTAACTTAAAATGAGTTTCATAAAAAAGTTGTCTTGCTGTCTAAACATTACTAAACATGCTTAGGTTGAGATTCTGTTAACTGCCTCAACATCTTAAAAATAGCTCCTTTACAGGAACTTGTGATATTCATACTCCAGAAGACCTGCAAATTTAGAACAGTACATTGATAAAGGATCCGGTAGCGAGCAACAATAAATATATATTTTCATTCAAAGCAAATAATTCTGCAATGTTCTTTGAAACAATCCACGGCCAAGAAGCGGGGATGTACTTGGCTAAACAATGAAGTCATCTGGCCCTTACTCTGCCCGCGGACACACATGCCCACACGCAGTGCAAAAGGGATGCTCCAGCCTGCCCACGTGGCTTCGGCTGCAGGATGAGGACCCATGGATTGAATCGCAGAGTGAGGACCTTGTGTTGGCTCTGTGGCATCCCAGCTGTGTTGGGGCAAAGGGAAAGCAACACCAGGAGACTGGGAAAATATCACATTTCTTGCCTGAACAAACCAGGACTAACCACGGTCAGGGCTGCTTTTTGCTCGGACCACAAAGAGGACAAAGCCACGTGTGAGGCATGGTTTCACTGCTCTGCTCTCCCTGTGTGCAGGGGATTCCCACTGGGGAGAGATCATTCTGCTCTCAGGGATGCTCTCAGCATCAGGATTTCTTTGTTTTCCATGGTAATAGTAATGCAGGTAACATTTAGGGACCAGTTCTCCATTTCTTTTCTGGCAAGCAATCCTCCCACTACTATTAGAATGTAGTATTTCATGCACAAGGAACGGGGAATCGACCCTGATCTGAGCAGGTATTTCTCTTTCCTCAGTCTCATCCCTCGTCATCGCTCACAGACCAAAAATACTAGGATGCCTTCCCCCCCACAAAAAGTCTCCTGCTCTTCCTCTCCCTCTCCCCCTCCCTGACTATAACTAACAGCTAGACTCAGACACAGGAAAAAAACTCAGTCAGGACTTGCAAGGGGGACCAAAGTTTAGTTTTCAGCTGCTCATCACTCTAGCAAACTGCTACTTTTTACACGACCACACTGGTAATCCCAACTGTCATATCACGTCACCTTAGACAGAAACTGGCAAGTCAAATTTGAGGGGAAAGAAAAAGGTTAGGCTTTATGAAAATAAGCTATTCCAAACCTGAGACTTGCCTTGGATGCTATACTGGGAGTCTTTAAATTGATGGGTAACTAGAAGACTTCTTTTTTAACTATAACACACCATGGTCAGTGCAGGAGTCATGGGCATGAGTGAAGCAAGAATTTAGACTGTAGGGTACCGTGCAACTCTCCTGGCCTCACTCTGCACCCCGTGGGCACTCTCAGAAGGGCTCCTGTGAGTCTGCTTTACAAAGGATGATCATCTGCACTTGCTAGTTCATGTGACTTTGCTGTGCGTGGCAGCCAGGGTTGCAACGTTCACTTACTGGGGAGAAACAGGACTTGGAAGTGAGTAGAAACAAAAGTGAGAACCACTGGACTACAATCAACCATGTAAAAAATGCAGAAGAAAACAGGACGGAGCAGACTGTTTAAACTGCCTCCAAATTTCAGAATCTGAGACGTTAACAAAAATAACACAAGTAGAACTGTAACTTTTTTTTTTACCCTGACAGTGACCTTTTAGCTTTATTAAAAACATACGGAAGATAGTCCTCAGTGTTAAGTAGTCCTATTGTAACTAAACTGATCATCACTGAGCTTGCAGAGCTTTTGGAGGGGTAGGATACAGAGACACATTTGCCAGGCATACAGGAACTGAGCTTTTCAACAGACAGTCATTAAGAAAAGTGTTCTGGGGGAATATTTTTGGCATATATAGTCTCCTACTCCTCATTAAAGACTGCAAAAATGTTGCATTCATCTTATTGGACACAGGAAAACCACGATTAACTAGCTATTACTGGTAGATAATGTCCAAACTAAGTACCAATATAAAGTTTTCGGCATAACTTAACACAGAAGCCCTGTTACTCAGCTGCCAGGTCTGGCATGTACCTGGAGCTCCCCACGGTCCTTTTAAAGACATAGTTATTAAAAGATCCAGTGCTACAAACCACTAAATCTACCTAATCTATTCTAGTTCATACACGTATTGTACAATATTGCCTAGTACTCACTACATACCAAGAGGAAAAGATGCTGACTTGAATTACAGTAAATGTGCTTTTTTAAAAAATAAAAATAAAAGAGAGCGCCACAACATAGTTTGACCAGCATGCAACAAACTTTCTTCAGCTAATATATAGAAATTGTCTAATACGATTAGAAAAAATAATTAGTGAGAGGCCAGACACGTATTTGATCAAGGAAATTAAGAGATTTATCTGAAATGTTGAGGCTTTGCCACTGAAGACTCAAAAAACCATTCATTCTATGTCCCTTATCCTCCTTCCCTCTCCTTTATATAATTTTTTACAGACATTATTGTAAGGCCTATTATTTTTCCATCTATCCTGTAATTTATCTCAAAATAACTTAAAATGCCATAGACAAGCTAGGACCAAAAGCAACTGCTTTTACCATCCGCTCAACACTCATGCTTTTATTCTAACAAAGCTGAGGTCCACATGCAGAAATAAATGTTCAGTATGCCTACGACAGGTCAAGAATCCGCTCATTCCGAAACGTTACATGGGACCTTCACTTCTAAATCACAAAGTAAAACATCTCCAAAAGCTTATTCTGACACAGCAGTCATCAAATCCTCATTAGGAACTAAGACAAAACCTAGCCAAAACAGGTCTATCAACAGAAAATCTTTGGGGATTCTCTGTGATTTTGGATAATAAGGTTTTAATTGTCTGAAGGATTTAGCGCACTTACTCCAGCACATGACTCTGCTGACAACAGCTGCTGTAGTTCAGCAGCTCAGAGAATGTGCTTTACTGGCTTAATCTACAAGACTCGTTTACAGTTAGTGCTGCACTTAGTTAACAAAATATACATGCTGTGACCACAGCGTCTTCAGATTCCTCACCCACTACCCTCTCCATACTTTGGGGATTGCATCTCCTCTTTCAGGACACTTGACAAGGTTTTTGTACTACCACTACTGTCTACAGCATCTTTTTCTCCACAAGGAAGGTTACATGCTCTCCAGCACCTTCTTGTCAGATGAAAAACCGAGGTTTCTTTCTTCTGCACCCCCAGAAACCTCAACCTCCTCTCCCGTGGCAGAATAAAACAGTCCTGTTTCAGGTCAGTCCATAGCACAACGGGAAGGGCAGCACCTCCAGCAGATATGTACCAGTACAAAGGAGATGGAAGAAAAGCAGGAGATAGAAGACATTGTGACTGAAGGATGCACAGCAACAAGTAAGGGAGTCAGTAAATTGCAGAACGTTGTATCTGACAACACAAAACATATCTCAAGCTGCAAGTCTGATGTTCAGCTCCCACTTCTAGTGGTTTTTTTCTGAGCAAAATTGCAGTTAATTAGCCTGCTAAACTCAAACTCTGTTCAAACTGTCTGGTCTAAGTAGGCGCTACTTATTCTCCCACCAAGTATGCTTCATCAGCAGTGTTAGACAAGTAATGCAGTAAAGACACTTGCTGGTAATTTGGCACAGTTTGAAAACACAGCGACGACAGTGTTACAGTTAACATGACTCAGTGATGTGGAACTGATTCTAAAGGAAGAGTTGCAGGTTTCTTTCTTTTTCTTCCTTTCAAGAAGAAAGACCTTATAAAAAACCTAATGCTTCCTCTGAAACTTTCTGCTCCTGCTCTTTTTAGGTCAGATATCGGCCTCTGAATTTTTCAGGTACTTTCTTGTGAAAGAATCCGTATTAGAAATTTCTAAGATGCACAGTTAAGAAAAATACCCTCCTTACTCCCCCCAAATGCTTTCAAATGCTGCAACTTTCCAGGGTTAATACTATCTGAAACAAGGGTCCAAGAATGACAGCGAGAGAAGTGAAACAAGAGGTGTATGTCTAATTTGACAACTAGGACTCATGCCCCACGGCACCTCCTCCTCGGACGGAGAGGGCACAGCGCCCTCCCCCTCATCTTCTGTCTAAGGTCACTGGTTTATCCTCCTCTTCCAGCTCCACAAGAACTGATTGAACATGCATTGCACTTGAGGTCAGAGTTCCAGCAAACAAAACCTTGACAGCATGTTTAAAAAACAAAAGCAGTTCCCCCTTCCTTACTCACTAAGACCTGTCGCAGCAGGGTCCCACTGTGCTCTCCAGGGAAAGCTGTGAGGACTGACGCAGGAGTGGGCCTGTAGTGGGATCTACCATCGAGGAGGTTGGGAAGAGCTTGTACCAGCCGATTGCTAAAGTTGACAAATCCAGTTCTTCCAGGAGGACCCTGGCGACTCCCATGAAGTGCTTGCGCTCCATGCGTCCATAGTTTCCCCAGACTATCACCTTAGGAACAAGAGGGGGGAGCACAGTTAATCCTCCAACTTGCACACTTGCTTGGGAAGCACAAGTCTGATCAATCCTTCTTTCTACTCATCCAACTTCCCGGGGCTTTACTACAGTTCGAGAAGAGCAGAAAGGTTTACACTAGCAACAGGTGACGTGAAGCTCTGGCTGATGATTCTACTTTTTTTTTTTTTAAGCACAGTTTTACAAATCCTAATGTTAGACTTTTCCTGCCACGCCCCCATGGAAAAGAGGTGAATGCATGTGTGGATGAGACGCCATTCTGCTGTTCTACCTGCTGGGCAGGACCAGCGTGTGCACAAAGTACCCCTGGAGCTGCAGCTCCAACACCTCCACGTGAAACCTGGTCCTGGCAGAGCAACGGACCTTGGACACAACAAAAGGTGGCCTGTGGGAAAAGGGCAAGAAGGGCTCCTGATCTGGAAAAACACACCACCCAAAAAAAAAAAAAAAAAAAAAAAAAAGGTGGGCAATAGCTTGGGTCAAGAGCCAACAGTTTGAGGAAAAGAGCGTCTCTTAACTTTTCCACTCGGAGCTTGTGACACAGGGCAGATGGTGACGAGGCATGGCTACTCACCTGGAGAAAGGGCAGGAGCCGAGCGCTGGCAAGCGGGACCGGTGACGTAAGGGGCACACATGGAGTGGCATGCAGGGGAAGCAGAACAGACTGCCGAGAAAGACTTGCAGACGCAGAGGAAGGTCTAATGAAAGAGAGCTGGCAGACGAGCAGGGAAGGCTGAATCACACTTACAACACGATGGAGAGACCAGTGGGTGGAAGAACAGATGTAGGGAGGGTCATGGGCTTAGGCATGCAGGAGGTCTGCACATGACCGAGTGGCCCTATGTGGCTCAAGACAAAGGTGACGACTGACTCCAGAGCGAGTCCATCTTCTGAAGAGGAGAGGATGAGTACGATGGGTTATGACGGTGACTAGTGATCTCTGGCTAATCCTGACAGCTTTTTTCTAGGCTCCGAATAACCAGAGCTTTACAATTTTCTGTAAAATGAGGTAGGAGAGACAATGAATGTCAATTAAAAGACAAAAATTAACACTCTAGGTCAGCATGAGATGGAGCAAGCCACTGCAGAAAGTTGGTTTGGTGGCACGGCCGCTGGCAGAGAGCCAAGGTCCTCATTTTATTGGCTTGGAATAAGCATCTTTCCTGGCAGCAAGGCAGCCGGTAAGGAAACCAATGCAAGGCAAGAGCAGACCAAGCCAGATCCCACCCCATTTCAGTCAAAAACGTGCAGTCTCGTTGCAACAGGGGAAAATGCTTTCAATCAAGGTAAATGAGGAAGAGTTCACTAACGAGAAGGATCCAGCAGGTTAGCTGGCAATTCATATGCCAGTGGAGGTAAGCAATAGAAACTCATGGATTAATTACATCAGTATTACCAGTGGATTTTAGCCAGGCTTTATTGGATGGAAATGAAGTAACAACGCAAATCACTCTTTGCTCTGGAAACATAGGCGCAGAATTGAAAATATGAGTATGGCAGAAAATGTATGGCAGTAAAAGAAAAGAGGTAGAAAGAGGTAGGATATGTGATTGGGTGATGGCCAAAGCAGAGTGCTCTGAACACATATAAACACAGAAGACAAGCTATGCCGCAAGATTGTTTAGCATCTGTAGGTACTACCTATCTCCTAACTGGGTGGGAAAAAAGGAATTAAAAAAGTAAAAATCAACCTTCCTGGTAGGCACTCGTGTTACCTGGCAGGGTGTCCAATAATAATCAGTTTGAGTATGGAAAAGAGGTTTTCCTTTCCATTTGTTACGTTCAGATCAAATGCATTCGGTTCAATGAAAACACTGTCTTTTTCTCATCTACATTAATTATCCAGATCCCTTGCCAGACTTAGTATCTTCCAGCAGAGGTGGAAGAGAGATGGGCAGACCTGAGACTTGCTCGTCTTACCTGTAATACTTTGCCCTGGGGGCTCTCAGCAAACAGTAACACCTGATTGTACAAAGGGTCTAATGATTTGCGAGCCACTTTTGTCTTCTTTTTCGCAATGCACACGCCATTCTCTAGCAGGTAAGCTTTGATGTAAGCAGCTGGAAAAAATAAATATGGTCAAATATGAAAAAATCTTCATGCTCACTTTAGAAAAGACAGAGTGCCATATCTCAGGTATTTCTAAAGAAGGCATTTACAGCAGTGAAAAGATTTGCTCAACCAGCCTTATTTTCAATACTGAATACAGACTGCTTATTCCTGCAGAAGCCAAGCAGAATTAAAATTTTTCCTATTCACAAGCATCGCAGGAGGCTGGGGCTCAGTGAATTACTTTGGGGGGTCAAAGCATACTACCTGGCAGTGTTTTGGAGCCGGGTTTTGGTGTCAGTCCTCGAGCCTGAATGATATCCACTTCTAGCTGCCCATTTCGCTCTTGCAAGCCAATTTCCACATCCCCTAAACCAAAATGTCAAAATAGACAGAAGACTTTCAAAACTATACATCTGTGGGCTACTAAAATGTTAAAAAAAAAACAAAACCAAACAATCTTCATGTCATGCCTGCTACAAGCTGTAACAAACCGTAGGCCCTGAGTGCCTGATCTCCTCCTGCGTTACTCTGGAGCAGCTCTGCAGTGATTCAAGCCCACATTTTCAAAAGCAGTCTCTAATGTCAGTCCTTTAACATGGCTTTGGCGACTCAGTCTCATACTCTTCAGTGGCAGCTAGCCTCTCATCTCTCCCAAACTGAAGCACCTAGAATTGCAGGCTGCTTTGGAAAATGCAATTATGGTGGACCATAAGAAAATCTTTACAGAGCTCTGTGGGCCTTAGAGAGCAAGAAAAACACGAGGATACACAGGATGCATTTTCAGGATTTTAGCTGTGTTTTACTTCGTCTATACCTTTCAGATCTGATGGAGGAAAGCATAAAGCTGGCGCTCTCCTACTAATGCTGCATTTGCAGCAATCAGCTAAACCTTTCAGCGAAGCTTATTTGATTTAACAGAGAAACGGAGCAGGGGAGTGGTAGATCAGCAGATGCTGGACACATTATTAGGTGGTTTGTAGGAGCGGTCTGTTCAAGATTAATTTAAAGTCACCTAACAACTTCGTGTTCCTTACCCATCGAGGTGGTGGCCAAGGTCTGACGCCCAACAAATTGTGCAGGGCCCATGCTCCCCAGGAAGTCACTAAACTGCCCAGCAGATGCCAGATGGACTCCACTGAAATTCAAGCTGCAAAAGAAATTGATTTTGGCAAGTGGTTCATTTGCATTTTAAAGCAACCCAGTAACTAAAGAACCAGATTTAATATCTCTTTGAAATTAATGACACCTACAGAAGCCTTCTTCCCTTGCAAAACTTGCCGATTTCCAGGCAGTTTAGTTACATGGAATCCATTTAAAATCCCTTTCCTCATACAAAACCCCCCCAAACCTGTAATGGTTGCAGTCACCAGTTGGTTAATACTTGTTTATCTATAACTAATTGTCTGTAAGGGAAAATCTCTGCCATCTCAGGTTCATATGCAGCCCGTCAATTCTTCTAGGCAGCATTATAATCTAAGCAGCTTCCTGGCATATCTCACAGGATCTCTCGTTAGCTGTCCCTTCCCAATCCTCATTTCTGGGGAGGAAATAATGCATCTAGAGCAGCAGTTAAAAGTGAGATGAGGGGTGCTGGCATCAATCCCCTTGGGACTCAATTCCCTATTTATTTCTCACACACACACACAGAGCAGTGGATCTCCTTCTTCACCAGAGGACCCCATTTCCTACTGCTCAACACCAGAAGCACCCATCACATCCACCATGTGGTTTTCATACCCGCTTCCACGAGCGGGCCTGAAGCGATCGTGGAAAGGACCTGAACACTGGTGCAAGGCTAAAGGGACAACACTCTCAAACACCAGCAATGCCTTTGCCGCAGTCACTGCAGCAAAACAAAAGCTGTCAGGGGAAAAAACAGCCGCCAAATCTATTCACCAGGCACCTGAGGCTGGTCTCTGGCATGGCTACAGGTGCTGGTCACTGCACTGGACATGGGTGAAGCAACGCAAAAGGGTCAAACCCTGTGGTACACTGACACAAATCAAGGCTTACCCAGTTGTACCCTGATTTACACAGCTGTATCACAGGTTGTGGGAAAACTTGCTGCCCCACTTGCTGCGAATGGTTAAGGAGGAGGCTTGAGGCCACCATTCAACACCGACTTTTGTCCTACAGGCATCTGCCAAACCAAAACACAGCTGCTGAAACACAGATCAGGAGCTTTGTACCAGGGTACCCATGCTACCGCGCTGGGTTTTGCACTCTGCCTCCGGGGAAGCTGCTGCATGCCGAAGTCAGGCACAATTACGAACCTCCTGCGCTTTTCCAAACGTCCTTGGCGGGGGACAATTACCCACATCATGACACAGCTCCCTGCTGCCCCAAATTCGTTTCTCAGAAAAGATGCCGTGAAGAGGCTGCATGTTCAGTACAAGCAAAGCCGGAGAGGAACCCTGCCTGTGGGGCGGGCTGGGGACCACAGGCTCTCACGCAGCCTGAGTCAGCCACAAAGATTCATTGATTCCCCCCTGCGTGCCAGTTACATGTAAAAGAGATTAAAAAAAAGAAATTTTTTTTAAACCCTATTCATCCAGAAGAGTGTTAATTTCAGGTTGGGATTTCAGCTCTCATTAGCTATTTGCAGATCTGGTCTCAGCCCCACGGGAATATTTATTTATTCATATGAGGAATGAGGAAACCAGCACACACACCTCAGCATCTCGCCACGCATGGGACTGAAGAGGACGTGTCACTAGCACATTCCCATGACGGGTTCACAGGGTGGCTCAGCATACTGTGACGGAGGTACCAAATTAAATGGCCAGACTTTTCCATGGAGCACTGCACCTCCCCTCTGCGCTGACCCAGCTCTTTGAGAAACCTGGTTATCGCTGCTACACAGGGAGCTGCTGAGCCTTCAGCATGGAAAAACCTGCCCTTGAGCTCTTTACAAATGTCACCTTTGTGAAAATGGACAAGGGAGGAGGGTGCCTTGGCGTCCTGGAAGACAAGCTTAGGAGGGGCTCTGGCATGGGGTGGATTTTCCCTGGTTTGGTGTTTTTTCACCCTGCATCCACTGTTTGCACAAACAACAGAGATACAACAGAAACAGCGGGATTTATAATTGGCATTAATTGCAGAGAAGGCTTAAGTCTTTTCTCAGTTTTCAGCGTCACCGACTCCTCAGATGCACAAGGCGCATCCTCAGTGCCACCGTCCATCCCGGGGGCAGAGGCAGCGGCAGGACCGCACTCTGCTCCCTGTGGGTACGCAACTCCTGCTCCATCACCCAGCTGGCATCTGCCAGCCCCAATGGGGCAGACCTCTCCGGGGAACAGCGCCCCAAGCACAGGACCAGGGCAGGGATGCTGGATGTGTAGCAAGGCTGCCGAGGACAGACTGTGCAGACACAGACATCCCCAGGGCTGTTAAAACTGCAGGGACAGAGACACGTGATGGGGAAAGCAGGGGAAGGGGGAGCCCGGAGCCAGACGGGCTTTATCAGGCTCACAATTTGCCCATACAAGGAGGGAAGAAGTGAGTCCTGGTGCACATGAGGACCAGTGAGACTCCTCGAGCCTGCTGGCTCAGGCATTTTGAGCTGCCCATAGAGTCAAAAAAGGATGAAAACTAGTGCTTAGAGAACCCAAAATAGTTCAAGAAAAAGGAGACCTGACAAAGACATAAGATTCAGCAGATGAATGGACCATCAGCCAAAAGGTAAATGTTTTCTTTATTCTCTTCAATTCATGGAAGATAAATGGGCCGAGCTCGGGTCTCACTCCTACCCCGGGGAGTATGTGACCTGAACGAGCACGTAAATAAAAAGCTGGCAAGACAACTCACAGCTGTTCAGGGAAATGTCCACTGCTATGCTCAAAACAGATGCTTGGGCTCATTAACAAGATGGCTGGGACCAGGACAGCAGAGGGGAAACCCAGGAGTGAGTGAAGCCTAGCACTGCGAGAGCCTGCAGCACACCCAGAACCAGGTCTTGGAGCAATCCCTCTCCGGGGTGAAGTCCAGCCTCGTTACTGCAGTGGGGACACAAAGCTGGGAGAAGACCACCCACAGAAACTCCACTTGCTGTGGAACAGCAAAGAAGAGAGACCCTTCTGGCCCCTGAATACTTAAAGTAATTCACAAAACCTGCCACAGGAAACCATTTCCCCTTACCTGCTGGGGAGAGAATCATGTCAAAAGGCTGATGCCAAGTATTTGTCTGTGCTTGATACGTGCGTGGAGAGAAACCACCCGTGCTCTCACACACCAGCACACCCCTCCTTTGGGCAACGTTGCTAGCAAAGGCTTTGCCCAGCAGCTGGGGCAGCTCAGGAGAAAATAAAAGCACCTGCTAATGGAGCAGCCAACGCTGCAGCCTACATCAATGATATGGAGCAAAACAGCAGGAGAGCATAAAGAACAGCATTAAAAAGCACAAGAACAAGAGCTGTTGGGCTAAAGGTGAACCAACAGCAACTGGAAGTGTTTACAGTAAAGCAAACATTGCCGTTATCTCCACACAGATTCAGAAGTCAGAGGGCTCGGCACAACCTCGAAACGATGAACGCTCCTCAGTGCAAATTACAGCAAGAGGGCAGGACATTGCTGCAGGGACACCAGGGCTGTGCTGCAAGCATGGACCCTCGCAAGGAGAGCAGTGGAGCTGCTGCTTGAATGAAGCTGCTGCTGCTTCATAGCACCGAGGCTGATCTCGAGAGGAATGGCGAAAACCCACTTAAAAACACAGGCCAAGGTCAAGACCCCGGCAGTTTGGATAACAGCCTCAGTTAATAGGTTTACTAGCACTATATGAAACTCAATATTAGGTTAGACAGTTAATGTTCCCTGTTGTTGTTATATTTGACTGGGAAGGGAAGATGTAGAGAATTAATTCTTTAATAGGTTATGCCATTAGCTGGTGGGACTGGCTGCTACGTTGCACAGAGGCTGACCTTTTGCAGTGCTGCTTTATTAGACATTAGAAGCAGCAGCTCTAAATCAGGCTCCTTGGCTTTGACCGATTCCTGGACATATATTTGGGTATTGCCAATAACCTTGCAATGGAAACAATTTCTGTCTGGAAAAATCATAAGCTACCTCCAAGAAAGCCATTGCTTCTCCCTTGAGAGGAGAGGGAAGGGGAAAATAAAACAGCAAAAATTTAGTATGAATGTGAATTAAAAACAGCAGGAACCACTTAGCTGCATCGGCTAAATTTAGGATGCTCAAATCCAGCTCAGTGAGCTCTGTCTGTCAAGTGCTCGGAAAGAAGCTGGGATGCCAAGGTGAGAGGGCCGTGTACGGTGTGATTCTGAGATCGGTGAGACAGACCTTCCCCATTCACTTGCTTTTCCTGCAGCTGAAGCAGGGAGGAAAAGAGCTCCAGGGACCACTGTGACTTCTTTCAGGTCTTTAAACGCAGCCCTGGTGCTCCCAAGAGCCCTCCCCTGCCACTCTGCCACATGCTGCACGCTCAGCAGACCTTTCCTGACTGAACTCTGAAGAAACCAAGCCGTTTCTCACATGCCCTTGATTCAGCAACCAGTTCTCCAGCTGAACCATCACACACTGGCTGTGCTGGCGGGGGGGCG